TTCATTTTCGCATTTCTAAGCTTTCAATTTCATATTTTTAATATTTCTAACTCTTGCCGTAAATGTATTTTTCTACAGGATTGACGTGGGACGACTGAGAAGATATTTTTATAACTTTTGGAATATTATAACATACTTATCTTTTTCAGTTATTCTTGAAATTTTTTTATAAAATACAGTATGATCTTGTTTTACGCAGATGTTGCGTGTCAGTAAGTCCCGCGCAAATTTGTGTCCCATTCCAAATAGTCTTAGATGTTGCCTAGACACTTATGAAACCACGTATAATTAATAAAATACAGTTTATATATTTTTTGTATTAGAACTAACACTTAAGTTCGATGTTTATGGATATAAAGAGCAGAATTTAATTATACTCATCAAGTATCTATTTGAGAAAAATACAAGTAAACCAGTGCTCACCACAATGAGCGGAACTCGATAGTTCTCCGTGTTCGGAATGTTAGAAGCTGGGGAAGCGCGGTTTTCTGACTTAAGAATCAAATTCAGTAGCATTAGAAGTGGGTTAACCTAATTATTTGCCATCCGCATATATGAATTCCATGTAAGATAAATCCTTAATGAAGTTGAATCCTTGACTTTTAGTATATGTTATAGATTCAAATCTTACAAAATATTAAAGTAAACAATTATGTCCATATTTCTAAGAATAACTACTAAATTTTCTATTCTATCGTAGACATAAAACTCGAAATTATAACCGATCTCTCTCTATTGGCCTAAAGATTATTTCTCTTTAATACTCCATCCGTATAAAAATCAGTGAAAATCACGCATTGCCAAAACTCACAAGAATAATTGCATATTTTTTTGAAAATTACCAAATTCTCCTTATGTTCGTTTAATCTAAGCGACTTTTCCCTGATAATTTGAGTATTCTATCCAAATTTTATTGCTTTTTTTCAATTTGTACATCAAGATCCACATTTTTAATTAACTATTTTAATAAGCAAAACAATTTATCTTTGGATTCAGTTTAATCACTTAGATTTTTATGTCCTCTCATTTTGAGTTTTCTAACTATTAATTTATTACAAAATTAAAGAATTTTTATCTTTTAATTATATATTTTTACAAAGTTTATTAATAAATGCAAAGTTTCTACTCTATTAACCTTTCCATTTTATTTAAATTTGTGTTATTAATACAATCTAACAATAATTTGCCTTTTTTATGATGTAGGCTACTAAATTATGTTCACAAATGAGTCTCGTTTTATTTATTATATTCAAAAACTAATATTTAGTCGATAAATATACATATGAGATTTTGAACGATTATTTTTTTAATTTCACCAAGACGATCTCAGAAGTTTATAGTGAATATTTTAAGACTTAATAAATTTTATACTGTCAGAGCTTTGACCATAAATTATTGAAATCGAGAAGGTCAACGACTAAATAAAAGAAAGTTGAATTAAGAGCGTTACTAAAAATTTTTGACGCGTTAAATTTATCAACTCGTATAAATTATAAGACTTCGAATCTGTTTATAATAAAAGACCTAGATTCAACTTTGTGTTGGCCTAAACATAAAATATATTTTAATACGTAATTCTTCATTTTAACTCAGGTTATCCTCGCGAAAACCCAAAGAAAATCCGAGTGAACGTCACGCCGGCGGAATTTTTATATGCAGTATCGAATTTTATAAGTTTAGCAATGTTTGTTTTTATTTTACACTTTTTAGCAAACAAAGTCGGTAGCAAAAAGACGAAAAATAGCTTTTCGCATAACTTTACGCTTTGGTGATCATCGAAATTTAATTTTTGTATTCCTTGAAACCGTATTGGAGTAGGCCATATGAATAATCCTTTCGGCTAATTTGTAACTAGAAGAGTGACCTAAACTCGAACAGATGCTTCCAACGACACATGTCCGATTATGCAAACTTATAAATGAGCAACTATAGCCTATACATTTCGTGAAAATCTATTTGTTTATTTATTACAGTAGAACCTCGAAAACTCGGCCTAATGTGGACCGAAGGGTGGCCGAGTTTGTGAAAATGCCGGGTTATCGGGAATGGGGTTAAAAAAATAAGTACGAGTGTTTCCTCAGAAAATACTGTACTGTACTTGTATGTATTGTTTACTTGAGAATATAACAGAGAATAAACTGCCCAAATACCCTTAAACAGAGGAAAAGTACGTCCTTTATGAAGGCATAGAGCTTTTACTACACGAAAATGAAAATTAATGAATACACTGTGTACAGTGATTTACCTGATAAGACAGGCCCCAGAAAAATACTTTATGAGAGCTTTTATACTTTTATAAAGCTGTCTATAATGAAAATTAATTAACTAAGGATTTTTTTGCCCTGCCAGGATGTGGCCGAGTTATCCGGAGTGCCGGGTTATCGAGAGCCGAGTTTTCGAGGTTCTACTGTATCTATTTTTCGAAATTATATAGACTATATGTAGACTATATATTTTATATTTGAGAAAATATTAGTTTTATTTAGCTTGTAGAGATATAACTATAAATGAAGTAAAAGATAAAAAAAAAAGCCAAAAATTATTAGTTAGAACAATTTATTCAATAGGAGAATAATTGTAAAAAATATTTACTATTCAAGCTAAAGACGAAATTTAATTTAATTCGTCACAATGTAATTTAAAAAATTTGGAGAAATCACATTATTTTCGATTCTAAGTTATTTTTATTTCGAATGAAAGATTTGATGTGATATTTGTTAAAAGGAAATTCATTGAATTTTGCGATACTGAAAAATAACTAGAAGACAGACATTTTTTCGGAAAATTAACTTGCCAAACGGTCCAATATGTTCCGTTAGAAGAAGAAAAGCAATATGTGAATGTCGGACTATAATGTCGAACATTATACGATTTTGAAATAGTCTAATCGTTCGGCATTCTCCGATGATGTTTGAACATTATCGGAGGAAGAAGAATCGGATCCCAGTCAACATCAAACATTGTTTCTGTCTTTCTCCACCTCAATTTTTCATTATTTGAACTAGAACGAATAGAAAAGAGTGTAATATAACTCTTTTTATTTGAAACATTTATTTTACCTGGTTGCACCGTATGAATGCAACCAGGTGAAATAAATGTTTCAAATAAAATAATAAATAGTAAAGAATAATTAATCTCGAATGAGAGTAAAGGATCCTGACTCCTCATCTGACTGACCGGTGATTTTACGATTCTTTCGCTTATTGATAACTCACTTTGTGGTTCCGACATTCGGTTGTCGTTAGAGACGAAGAACAAATTCCTTAACACGATATTGTAGAGAGCGAAAAGAACAATGGCAAGGTTCGAGTTCGAAGAGAAAAACAAATTCGAATCGGGAGATTGTCAGGCGTCGTCTCTTTATTTTATCCATAAACAAGACAGGGAGAAAAAACACTGCCGTCAGAAAGCGGACTCGAACGCGTCACGTCCGTCAGTCGACGTCGTTACTCAAAGGGCATTATCGGGCAGAGAGAGGTCGCGGGTCGCTCTGCCCGCGGAAGAAGTCGCGGGCGGAGGGCCAATAGGAGGCGACGGAGTGCGTCTGCGAGACGTCATCCTCGAACCCTTATCGACCACTTTCAACACGCACTTAGCCGTCGGTCGGACGCGTGACGGGTGCCCCCCCCGGTGGCCCGACCCGCCTTTATTGCCCGGTCGCGCGGTCCGTCTGACTTCTCTATAACGAGGTCGGAATTTCTCGTCGTCGAACGACTTTTCGTAGAACGTGAGAAAGCGCAGAGCGAAAGAGAGAGACAGTAGCTAATTCGAGCGGAAGTGGCGGATGAGGGGAGGAAGGCGGTCTCGGCTACGGCAATATGTTTCTCGTCAATCTGATGTATGGAGACTCCCGCGAGTAATTGCCCCGTACTCCGCTTTTAAAGACAGAAAATTGGTCCGTAGGGAGGAACCTCGAGGAAAACTTAATGGACGAGTTCGCCGTTCGTCTCTTTGAACCGAGCCGTCCCTAAACCGCGGTTCCGAAGATCTAGTGGCACTCTCTAACGCCTCCGAAAAACGATCTCGGTCCTCCGCCTCCTTCCCAAATCCCCGAAGAAGCCCAAAGAACGTCGAGGTGGACGAAAAGTTGAGAGGAAGTTTTCTTAAGACTCTCCTTTATTTGTTTTTGACGCGCGAGAATCTAGATCTAACGAAAACTAAGCCGAATTGTTGCATTATTTTTATTGTCATTAATCACCCGTGCTTTTGTTCGAGCTGCCAAACGGGCATCGAGATTCCCCGACTGACGCGTCCCCCCTCTTTCTTTTCTCTTCGTTCGACGACAGAAAAATATACTGTTTTTTCTTTACGAATGTTTCTCGTGCTTTGTTCCTCGTCGCAGGCTTTAAGTGTCGCTCTCGAATCTACTCAAACGATTTCGGAATCCTTCTCCCTCCGGTCACACTAACTTACGCTATTGGAATTAAATTAAAAAACAAAAAAATGCGTGGCGATCTTTTACAATTAAACGCTGGCTTTATTATTACGGAAGCTGGACGTTTTCCGTCCAACGGTCGTACAAGTTAACTCCGAAGAGGCAGACGCGTCTCAGCAAATGCCGCGAATTAAAAAGTGAAAATTGCGCCGGGAGTAACGCCTATAAACAGTCACTATTGGTATTTTACTTATATCGCCGACCAATCGTCGTTCGAGACACGCGTCACGTGCCCGGCGGTCGACGTCGGTCGGAAGCTACGGAAACGTTTTTCATCGCGTGCTTAGGTTATCAAAACGACCCGTCATAAACCACTTAATAGGTCGAGGAGACGAACCGACCCCGTCTTCTGGATAACGTCTCTATTCTCTCTCTTTCCGTTATTATTAACCGGCCGTTCTCAACTTTACTAATTTTGATTCCGACGTCCCTTTATGCGATTTCGATCACGACAAAATTAAAGAGACGTTCTCTCCAATATCTCTCGTCTAACGAACGATGACGAGAGGTATTTTTTTTCCTAAATAAGAATAAAACACTAATAACTGCCGTTTTGTTTTTTCAGGCCGCCAACAGTCCGCCGTATTTAGCGGATCGCCTTCATCACTACGATTCTCATAACAATTACGCACCGATCAACGGTAAGTTTCCCCTCCAGGCAGGAAGAATAAAAGCGGTCGCGAGCGATACGCGAGCGAATTTTTCGAGAGGTTCTTTGGCTTGGTTTTTGCCGACCGACAACGTCCGTCTGTTCGTTCAACAACATTATCTGGATATACATCTGAGGAGACGTCTCTTATTGTGAGCGATCTCGTTGCATCTTATCTCCTTTCTCTGCCTGCCACTATCTCTCTCATCTCCACTTCTTTCCTAAATATAACCGCGTTTTTCTTCTTTCCTCTTTCCTACTTTATATTTAAAGTAAGCTCTTATTTTAGAGAAAACTCTTCTCCTCTTAGAATAAGCAAAAGTTCCATTGAAAATTAATGAATGAATTTTCGAGGACCATCGGAAGATTCCCGCGATTTTGAAGCTTTTAAGCCGCGTCTAAAAAAAATTCGGGAGATTAAATATACGACTGTTTTTGCGAAGAAGAATTCGAACGATTATTAAATTTATTTATTCAATCTTAAGCTATTTTTGTTAAAAATTTACGGTCTCTCGCTTGGTCCCGGTATGTCCCAGTAGAGATTTTAACTCTTTCTCGTCTAGACCGACGGACTAGAAGACGAGAAGACCAATTTGCACGTGGGACTCGGTAGACGCGATTGCACGCTTCCGTGCGCGTCAAAGGTTCCGACCATCCGAACTATGAAGAGAAATATGCCACGGTTGGTCTCCGCTTTCGTAAAAACGCGGTCGGGTTGGGGATAGTCTCCCGCCTTCCGTGGGTTTACCCCCCTCGGGTCTGTGTGTCTCCGTCGACTCCCCTACGGCGAAACCCTCTTTCACTCGTTAACCGAGTAAAAGTCGCACAAACGAAGTTTGTTTATCTTCTGGAAAAATGTGGAGACTTTCCAACGGGCACAGACGCTCTTTCTTTCGTCTCGCTTCGGTTCCGCTCTCTTGGATTACCTGAAATATCGATAGGTGATCGTTCCCACGCGCTCTCTACCAATATAGGAAGCATTAGGCTCGGGGATCGATTGCCATCCACTATCACATGAGATATAACTATAAATGAAGTAAAAGATAAAAAAAAAAGCCAAAAATTATTAGTTAGAACAATTTATTCAATAGGAGAATAATTGTAAAAAATATTTACTATTCAAGCTAAAGACGAAATTTAATTTAATTCGTCACAATGTAATTTAAAAAATTTGGAGAAATCACATTATTTTCGATTCTAAGTTATTTTTATTTCGAATGAAAGATTTGATGTGATATTTGTTAAAAGGAAATTCATTGAATTTTGCGATACTGAAAAATAACTAGAAGACAGACATTTTTTCGGAAAATTAACTTGCCAAACGGTCCAATATGTTCCGTTAGAAGAAGAAAAGCAATATGTGAATGTCGGACTATAATGTCGAACATTATACGATTTTGAAATAGTCTAATCGTTCGGCATTCTCCGATGATGTTTGAACATTATCGGAGGAAGAAGAATCGGATCCCAGTCAACATCAAACATTGTTTCTGTCTTTCTCCACCTCAATTTTTCATTATTTGAACTAGAACGAATAGAAAAGAGTGTAATATAACTCTTTTTATTTGAAACATTTATTTTACCTGGTTGCACCGTATGAATGCAACCAGGTGAAATAAATGTTTCAAATAAAATAATAAATAGTAAAGAATAATTAATCTCGAATGAGAGTAAAGGATCCTGACTCCTCATCTGACTGACCGGTGATTTTACGATTCTTTCGCTTATTGATAACTCACTTTGTGGTTCCGACATTCGGTTGTCGTTAGAGACGAAGAACAAATTCCTTAACACGATATTGTAGAGAGCGAAAAGAACAATGGCAAGGTTCGAGTTCGAAGAGAAAAACAAATTCGAATCGGGAGATTGTCAGGCGTCGTCTCTTTATTTTATCCATAAACAAGACAGGGAGAAAAAACACTGCCGTCAGAAAGCGGACTCGAACGCGTCACGTCCGTCAGTCGACGTCGTTACTCAAAGGGCATTATCGGGCAGAGAGAGGTCGCGGGTCGCTCTGCCCGCGGAAGAAGTCGCGGGCGGAGGGCCAATAGGAGGCGACGGAGTGCGTCTGCGAGACGTCATCCTCGAACCCTTATCGACCACTTTCAACACGCACTTAGCCGTCGGTCGGACGCGTGACGGGTGCCCCCCCGGTGGCCCGACCCGCCTTTATTGCCCGGTCGCGCGGTCCGTCTGACTTCTCTATAACGAGGTCGGAATTTCTCGTCGTCGAACGACTTTTCGTAGAACGTGAGAAAGCGCAGAGCGAAAGAGAGAGACAGTAGCTAATTCGAGCGGAAGTGGCGGATGAGGGGAGGAAGGCGGTCTCGGCTACGGCAATATGTTTCTCGTCAATCTGATGTATGGAGACTCCCGCGAGTAATTGCCCCGTACTCCGCTTTTAAAGACAGAAAATTGGTCCGTAGGGAGGAACCTCGAGGAAAACTTAATGGACGAGTTCGCCGTTCGTCTCTTTGAACCGAGCCGTCCCTAAACCGCGGTTCCGAAGATCTAGTGGCACTCTCTAACGCCTCCGAAAAACGATCTCGGTCCTCCGCCTCCTTCCCAAATCCCCGAAGAAGCCCAAAGAACGTCGAGGTGGACGAAAAGTTGAGAGGAAGTTTTCTTAAGACTCTCCTTTATTTGTTTTTGACGCGCGAGAATCTAGATCTAACGAAAACTAAGCCGAATTGTTGCATTATTTTTATTGTCATTAATCACCCGTGCTTTTGTTCGAGCTGCCAAACGGGCATCGAGATTCCCCGACTGACGCGTCCCCCCTCTTTCTTTTCTCTTCGTTCGACGACAGAAAAATATACTGTTTTTTCTTTACGAATGTTTCTCGTGCTTTGTTCCTCGTCGCAGGCTTTAAGTGTCGCTCTCGAATCTACTCAAACGATTTCGGAATCCTTCTCCCTCCGGTCACACTAACTTACGCTATTGGAATTAAATTAAAAAACAAAAAAATGCGTGGCGATCTTTTACAATTAAACGCTGGCTTTATTATTACGGAAGCTGGACGTTTTCCGTCCAACGGTCGTACAAGTTAACTCCGAAGAGGCAGACGCGTCTCAGCAAATGCCGCGAATTAAAAAGTGAAAATTGCGCCGGGAGTAACGCCTATAAACAGTCACTATTGGTATTTTACTTATATCGCCGACCAATCGTCGTTCGAGACACGCGTCACGTGCCCGGCGGTCGACGTCGGTCGGAAGCTACGGAAACGTTTTTCATCGCGTGCTTAGGTTATCAAAACGACCCGTCATAAACCACTTAATAGGTCGAGGAGACGAACCGACCCCGTCTTCTGGATAACGTCTCTATTCTCTCTCTTTCCGTTATTATTAACCGGCCGTTCTCAACTTTACTAATTTTGATTCCGACGTCCCTTTATGCGATTTCGATCACGACAAAATTAAAGAGACGTTCTCTCCAATATCTCTCGTCTAACGAACGATGACGAGAGGTATTTTTTTTCCTAAATAAGAATAAAACACTAATAACTGCCGTTTTGTTTTTTCAGGCCGCCAACAGTCCGCCGTATTTAGCGGATCGCCTTCATCACTACGATTCTCATAACAATTACGCACCGATCAACGGTAAGTTTCCCCTCCAGGCAGGAAGAATAAAAGCGGTCGCGAGCGATACGCGAGCGAATTTTTCGAGAGGTTCTTTGGCTTGGTTTTTGCCGACCGACAACGTCCGTCTGTTCGTTCAACAACATTATCTGGATATACATCTGAGGAGACGTCTCTTATTGTGAGCGATCTCGTTGCATCTTATCTCCTTTCTCTGCCTGCCACTATCTCTCTCATCTCCACTTCTTTCCTAAATATAACCGCGTTTTTCTTCTTTCCTCTTTCCTACTTTATATTTAAAGTAAGCTCTTATTTTAGAGAAAACTCTTCTCCTCTTAGAATAAGCAAAAGTTCCATTGAAAATTAATGAATGAATTTTCGAGGACCATCGGAAGATTCCCGCGATTTTGAAGCTTTTAAGCCGCGTCTAAAAAAAATTCGGGAGATTAAATATACGACTGTTTTTGCGAAGAAGAATTCGAACGATTATTAAATTTATTTATTCAATCTTAAGCTATTTTTGTTAAAAATTTACGGTCTCTCGCTTGGTCCCGGTATGTCCCAGTAGAGATTTTAACTCTTTCTCGTCTAGACCGACGGACTAGAAGACGAGAAGACCAATTTGCACGTGGGACTCGGTAGACGCGATTGCACGCTTCCGTGCGCGTCAAAGGTTCCGACCATCCGAACTATGAAGAGAAATATGCCACGGTTGGTCTCCGCTTTCGTAAAAACGCGGTCGGGTTGGGGATAGTCTCCCGCCTTCCGTGGGTTTACCCCCCTCGGGTCTGTGTGTCTCCGTCGACTCCCCTACGGCGAAACCCTCTTTCACTCGTTAACCGAGTAAAAGTCGCACAAACGAAGTTTGTTTATCTTCTGGAAAAATGTGGAGACTTTCCAACGGGCACAGACGCTCTTTCTTTCGTCTCGCTTCGGTTCCGCTCTCTTGGATTACCTGAAATATCGATAGGTGATCGTTCCCACGCGCTCTCTACCAATATAGGAAGCATTAGGCTCGGGGATCGACTGCCATCCACTACCACATAAAAAGGCATCGATTTCATTATCGTCTTTTGTGCAACGTCCAAAATGAATGTAAAAGTAGAATAGAAGGTGGCGTTGCCTTCGAAGGACCGTCGGTCGGTCGCGGTTCGAAAACTCTTCTTCTCTTCTATTAATAGGTTTGACATAGATTTGTTTATTATAAATAGTCGAAAGTAACTTAAGATCGAAGAGGCGACGACTTTCTTTTCCTTCTTACTTTATTGGCTACTAGCTAACAATTTGTGATTAGCTGAAATGAACGTGCTCCCTAATTATTAAGAGGCGCGAATTCTCCAATTAATTCGCTAAAGTTCTAGAAAAATAAACACCGAAACGATAGGAAATTAAATTTCCGTGCAGTTTAAATAAT